TTCTTACGTTGAACCTTAGATGGTTGTCTAGGTGGTGGCTCAACGTTCTCTTTAACCTTAGCGTCATTTTTATTGAAACCTATTCCTTCCTTAGAAAAATGCATGGTGTCAAGGAGCAAATTTAAATCTTTGTGTGGAGTATTAAATTTCTTGACCGTACTCTCAAGTTTGGTGACTTGTTCCTCTAAAGCTTTGCAAGATTCACATTTGTTTGAGGAACTTTCTGGTTTGTCGGCGCTTCTTTTGCCATAAAATTTATTCTCTTGTTTTAACTTCTCATTATCTTTTTTCAGATTTTCAAAATCATTTTCAAGAGTGGAGAGGCGTTTCTTTAACGATTTGTTGATTTTAGAAGCGCTAACAAATTCGTCATAAAGTTCATGAAGTGCTTCTTGCATTTCTTCAAAAGGTGTAAGAGTCGGAAGAAATGGTACATACCTCTTGTACATCGTCGGTTTGGTCTTCGTGCGCCATGAGACAGAGGTTGGCAGTTTCATCCTCGTCTTGATCGGTTGACTCGTCGCCGGAGTCGCCACCCCAAGAGATATATGCCCTTTGCCTTTTGAAGTGCCGAGAATTCCTTCTGCTTTTCGGGCATTCGTTCTTGATGTGCCCGGCTTCACCACATCCATAGCACACAGGGCCATTCTCAACCTTTTCTTTCTTCCTTAGAAGTTTACAAAACTTCTTCATGACAAGCTTGATTTCATCATCGTCGCTTGAATCATCCATCGTTGATTCTTTGACGGCTTTTAATGCTATCCCTTTCCTTTGGTCATTTAAAGACGGGTTAAGAATAGTAGATTCATAGGTTTTTAGATTACCTCTTAGGCTGTCGATGGTGACATTTGATGTGCTGATTGATTCATAGATGTCATCGGCCTTGGATCGCCATTCGGATGTCAAGCTCTGTAGGATCTTTCGCACAAGATCCCTGTCGGTGTATGTCTTCTTTAATGCATGGAGGTCATTGACTATCTTGGAAAAACGGTCAAACATGTCGTCGATCTTCTCGTGCTCCTTCATCGTGAACATCTCATATTCTTGGGTGAGGAAGTCAATCTTGGCTTCACGTACTTGGTCCGTTCCTTCGTACGTCACCTCAAGTTTGTCCCACATCTCCTTGGCGGTTGAGCAGCAGGAGATCTTGCGGTAGTCATCAGGATTTACGGCACAATAAAGCATATTTATTGCCTTTGCATAATTCTTGACCTTTTTGATGTCCTCGGCATCAAACTCGTCTTCGGTCTTGGGGATCAACTTGTCTCCGACTTTCTTCATCGGCACCTCTTCCCTGTTTTTGATAACCAACCATAATTGGAAGTTCGTGGAACGAATATAGATTCTCATTCGTTCTTTCCAATATGTATAATTGGTTCCATCAAAAAGAGGTGGCCGTGTGGTTGATTGCCCTTCACCTATTCCTGCATACAAATTTCTAGAAGAAGAACCCATGATCGCTTTACTCTCAAACGGTTAAGTTTGGACGCGAGTTAGGCTCTGATACCAATTGTTAGAATAAGTGACCAACGCTAGAGGGGGGGTGAATAGCGTTTGATCGTAGAAATCGCAGGAATAAAAAATTAAGAACGTGAAA